ATATTAATTATAGTCGAGTTTGAGATTTATCTTTGATTAGTAAGGAACAATTTATATTATGTTAATAAAAAATAAAAGAGAAAATATTGAAATAATATAAAATGAATAAAACTATTTATACATATATATATGCGTGTGTGTTTGTCTTTGCGTGTGTGTATATGCTTTCAGAACGCTTTACGAGGAACGTTCAAGTGGATTGCTGGAAAGTTTTAGGCCGCAGAGTAAATACATGCTATGCGACTCGATGCATTGTACACTAATGACGAATAAGAGCAAAGTTTCACAGTGTGGCTTCGTGGGAGTGATAATGGCGGGCTTCCTCTCCCTCCTCTCGTTTCTCTTTAGATCCCCACCCTTCCCCCCTCACCCCATGCCACTACCACTCATTCGAAACCCCATCTCTCTTTTCAACCACCCCCTCCTCCTCCCACAGTGTGGAATTCCATAGCTAATCTTAAGCTGAATTAGCTTCCAGTACTCGATTGGAAACCACTGTAATCACGTTTGCATCAGTGCATTTAATTCCGTAAACGAGATTTTACCCCCCCCGGTAACAGCATTCCGTGATCATGGGAGATGCATTAGGTCAAACATAGATATCAATGAATTATTATACTTGCGGTAAACATTTGGATTTTGGTGAGTTAACTTCCTCCTCCCCCCCCCAGCCCCTCTTCTCATCATCATCATCCACATCCTTTACTTATGATTTCTCCTTCTGTATTCTCGATTATATTGTTTTAATTGCCAGTTGGATTACAGTGTTCCATCCTCGATCAAATTGTTTATGAATATATATAATATATTGATGTATAATCTGTGGAGAAATATATATACAGTCAAAGGAAAAAATTAATTGTACAGGTATTTGAAATGTGGACACTTCATCAATTGGTCAAAATTATATTTGATTTTTGTTATACATTCTTTCGTAATATAAATATATGAATTAATTAAAAATAATAAATATATTATTACAAAACGAAACACACGTTTATTCTTATCGAAATAAAATGTAGTCAATTGAATAAATGAAGGAAATATTATGAACGTTGTACATTTTTGATCGTATTTTATTTATTTTAAACAGGACACCGATAATCACGACCATGTGTATGTGATGATAGATCAATTCGTAATTTTCTAAATTAGAAGAAAACATCGATTGTATTTATCCTAGATTGCGGATTCGAAATTCAAAGATATCTCGTTAGGATCGATTGACAAACCAACCAATGGAAAATGGTTGTTGGTTTTGGTCGATAGTGGTAAAGAACAAACAACGATGTTCAAGGTACAACCAAAACCTAAGAGTTGCTTGGTTGGCGATGAGCCACGCATCATTTGCCTTGAGAGTTAATGCTGTAGCCCAGACTAGCCGCTAACCTACAAGATTGGAAAGTATAATGCTTATGTTTTATAGATTCACGCAACCAGCTAAGGTATATATATATACATACTATATACTATCTTCCTTTATATCGTAGTTGCATCCGGGCTAGTGCATTTCAATGAGAACGCTTGAGAAAATCTTCGTTGTTTATTTGTATAACGATATTATGACAGTTTTCATTACGTAAAAGAATAAATTTCATTATTTAAATAATATAATAATAATAATAATAATAATAATAATATAAAATATATATATTTGGTTTTTGATCGTAATCATTAAAACAATTGGATTTATCATACTTTTAACAAGCTTCAACTTTCTCCATTTCAATTGAAAATTGAAATTAACTGATTTGATCATTGTAACAACATAAAAAAAACCTAATGGGAAAAGTGTATACGTATTAATATTCTAACAACGTGATACAAGTTATCAGTACATTTAAAAAATGATATAACCATATAAAATCCCATAGGAGATCGAAACAAGAAATGGTTTCGATGCTTTCCCCATTTCCTATCGAGAATGCACTTTTCTTGTTTCCCCACTTAAGAAAGAGTTTCCGGGATTCGAGATGTACCTTGCTTTCAGTATGAACGCGCAATATACCCCTAAGCAGTGTGGTATCTTTCTATTTCACTTGTAAGAGAGTAACTCGACTTACTATGATTATACATATGTCTCTTTACCTGAGTGTTTGTGTGTGTATCTGTATATTTGTGATACGTATACGTATCCCTATGTAATTTTATGAAAATTATATAATAGTATTATTTCTTACGATGTTTTTTTTATTTCTAATTTCGTTGAATGTTATCAGATGGTTGACTTGTGCAGACAAAGTTGAATTTAAGTCAAACCGGTATTCGATTTGAATCGAATGTAAACGTTAGAAACGATCAGCTTATATGAATTTCGATCGTATTGGTCCAGTTCGAGGAGTTTTACGTTCAGAAAAGAGAGAGAGAGATAGAGAGAGTGAAACGGACGATTTCAAACTACCCCAGGAACTGTAATTTTACAAAGTGACGTACCAACACTCGACGCTAGTGCGCTAGTGGATGAAGGGATAGGAGCAAGGGTGCACACTGCACAACCCTCATCAGCAACGGTATTGCCGCGATAGCGTAGCTACTCGTCAAATATTTACTTTGGAGGATGCTGGTGCCAGGCAACGGGAGTAGTATCTCAGTTGTTGAGCAGAACGAAGGAAAGGGGGGTTTAGGGGTAGGGGTTGGGGTAGGGGAGGAGAATCTTGTTCGAGAGAGTCAGTCCAATGCGAATACACCCCTCTCGAAATATTTTTATCCCCGTATCGATATAGATTTTCATTTTTGATTGTTATATTAATTAGGATTTTCCTTATTTATCAGACGGTTACTTGGTTGATTTTTTGTTTTTGTTATTTTTGTTGGTTTCATGAGAAAGAATGTTTGATGAGTTTATTATTTAATTAGAATTTTGGATTTATGTTCGTTAGGATATATATATTTGTCATATTGGGATTTAGGATGTTTTCGGTTAGTTTCAGATTTTTTGATCGAATTTAATAAAATGTTATGGAAAAAATAATGGTATTATAAAATTGGACACAGAGTTTGTTAGATAATCAGACATTTGAAGTATTTGTAAATATTTTGAATTGTTTTCTTTAGACATATTAAAAAGAAGGATTATTTCGAAATGTAAAAAGGATTTTTAGTTTTGTTCGGTTCGAGTAAGAATGCTGATTGAAAGGATCAAAGTGTTGGTACATAAATACAGGAGTATTTAATTGTTCGACCATAGAAGATAGTACTAATTTAATTTGAAAGACCTTTTTCTTTTTTTCATTTCATTCTCCGTGCTTCTCTTAATTACTAATTTCAGGTTATTTTTTCGAAGGTAAAGTAGATTTATATACGTTTTTATAGGCATCTTTAATCGAATCTAAAGTTTTTATTATATTTTTTAGATATGTATGCGCAGAGAGAAAATCTAATTTCAATTTTCGTCACGAAAAGCTGTAAAATAAGTGGACGTATTAATTATACTTTTCTGGCTGCATATAAGTCAATTATCAAATATATCATTTCCATGGAATTTCGTTTGCATATTAGAAGAATACAGAGAATAAAAGGTACATGCGATAAAAGTTATTTTATTATATAATTATGTTTCATGTAATAATCTGTGGAATAAATTTAATTTTTGTCGAGTTTCATTACTAGAAATATCACATTTTTACAGTATAATATCATAATTTGGGATAAAAAAGTATCTCTTTTGATCGTTTTTATCTGTAATTATTATATTTCTAATATTTCGATATATTAAAACTGTATTGAGTAAATTCGGACTCAAGTAAGAGGCCATTTTAAAAAATTGCGCAGAACACATGCGCATACGCTTTTCAGAAATTATAACCTATAATTTTTTTGTCGAGTTTTTAATTTTATTTGCACGATTAGTGTATTTTATTATATATTTAAATCAATGATATGTTGTTTATTCATTAGAAACCATCATATTTCGTATTATTTTCAAATTTTGTATATTTTCTATATACAATTTGTATGTGCGTGTAATATACATGTATGCACTTACCGTGCATGATTGTATATCGGTTATATTGACACACTTTACTAATACAATCTTTCCATTTTGTAAATTAAATACATTATGTTCTATAAATCAATAAAACTTAGAAAAATAGTCAATGTAGTTAACTTATGGTTTCATACAAATTTACCTTATCGATTGGGGTAATAATAATTCAATCATATATATCAAGTAATATTATTTTATATAGATATTATTAATTTATTAACTTGGTCAATCATTTTATATTAAAAATATATATTTAATAATATAATTATAACACATTGTACATAAACAATATCCAATTAGAGTTCGTACAATTAAACAATAATATTTGAAATATAATCAATTACATTCCTATCATAAATATAAATAAATTTTGTAATAATTTGCAAAAAATTTTAATGAAATAAGATTAAAAAAAAAAAATATAATTAATAAGTTGAAAACACGATTGGCTAAATAATTTCATAATTATTTAAAATCAATTTAGATGATTGCATTGTTAAATTGTATAGAAAGAATGATACGTGGATAGGGGTAGGAATGAAATATTATAAATAAAAAAAAAAAAAAAAAAGGGATACAGGATGTATTCTTTTTTTGATTATTGTTGAAAGGATAAAAAGAGAAACGTTTGGAAGTTATCGATCGAGCATTATATTTCCCGCGATTAATTGTCTGGTACTGTACTGACTGAGAGACCCTTCTTCTCCTAGCGTGCATTGACCTTCGTTTGACGTCGGAATCGTTCGGTTCAGTTCGCCAATCCTCGCCAGTGGTGGGGGACTCGCGAGTTGCTAATTCGTTCCTTTCCACCATTGCTCGCTCCGCTACCGCCGTGTTTACTTCGCGTCAGTGCGGGTATCCTATTCCGCGGAAGTTTATTTCGAATTGTCGAGTGCGAGCATAGTTTTTCAAATATTATTTTATTTTTTATCCCGTTTGTATTATATATTATTTTTAATTAAAAATATAAGTGTGTCTCTGTGCGTGTGTGTGTCGATCGAAATTAATATAATTATAATTTTTTTTTAATTTAAATCTCGTTAAGTGTTCGTTTACTTTGATCGTACGCGTCATCTTTTTTTTATTTTTTTTTTTTGAAATTTCATTCGTACATTCGTTAAACAATCGGGAGTGATTTAAAGAAGAAATTAATCGACAAATTACGATGGAAAACAATTTGTGCCCGCGTGTTTAATATACAAGTGTATTACTTCCTACTGTGCGCGTGGTTCTTTTTTTTGTTTTTCTTAACAGGAACTCAAGTGATTATATTTGTGTGTATTTGTGTATATTTTTAATTTTATTTTATCACAGATACATTTCATATATTTCATTTATATTATTTATTTAATATTAATATTTGTGTGTTTTATATATTTTTTTTTTTTAAATCGCTATGGTTATTATCAACGACGAGTTAGGGATGGGAATAAGGGTTGGGTGTTGTTTTGAATTGTAGGATACTTCATATTTATGTCGAGAGAGATACACAGTTACAATTTACCCGCGCAAATTCAAATCCCGATCGGAGTACAGTTTTTCAATTAATACGAAATTAATTAATCCTATCAATTAAATGATTTTCGTTCTTTTTACTTCAATAATGATCTCAGAAATTTAATCTCTGTAATTAGAGTTGTATCGGTGCTTCCATCATTTTTTTTCTATCAAGTTTCACGTTTTCATTTCATATTTTCACTATAAATGAATATATTATAATAACAATCGATTATTTTCATTTTAATTGTCATTTTCATACATACGTAAAGTTTATATTTGTAAATTATTAAATAAAAAAAAGTCTTTTTCTAATATTGATTTTAAAAAATTATCGAATTCATTAACTTTCATTATAAAACGACGATGTTAATCATGTGTTAACAATGACGAAAATAAAACATCCCCCATTACCACAACCACCATCACCACCACGTTAAATCGAGTAGGATATTTTTTCGTTGCATCGTGTGTGTTTGATTAACAAAAAAAAGGAGGTAAAAGAAAGAAATAGAAAAAAAAAACAAAAAATAGCGTTAATTATCAACTCCGAGAATTCCTGTATAGAATAGTGGGAGAAAATAGAAGAAGAAGAAGAAATGAGTAATAGTAGTAGTGGTACTCTTTCTGTATTTTTTTTTCTCCTTTTTTTTTTTTCTTTTTGCTTTTTCAGTGCTTGAAAAATCGAGTATTCAACTTGTCTATTTTTTCGAATGTAAAACTCGGATAAAGAATGCACCCCCAATGCGTGTATGTGTATGCGTGCATGCATACGTGCGTGCGTGTGTATGTGTTTTTTTTATCCTACTACTATTCTTCTATTTTCCTCTTATCAGAAGATAACAAAGAACGACGTTACCAGACATGAACTGCATTTGCATCATTGGTTTTACGTGAATATGGATGCACGTAATGTAATGTATAAGTATTAGTATATATATATATGTAAACGTGTGCATAGGTGCATATATTGAATGTAAATTATTTTGAAGGGTTTGGTAAAGGGCGATAGAATTTTGCAACAAGGCGATAATTCGCAATTAAAGTAGGCACTCGACATTTGTGTGTGGTGGTGGTGGGTTGTGGGTGGTGGGTGGTGGTGGTGGTGGTGATGGTGGTGGTCGATGAATTGGCTCGTGAAAGTGCAACCACGCCGAGAGAGACTTTGGGTCCACTGAGGGAGGGATACTGAACAAAAAAAGAAAATAAAATAAAAACGAAACGGGGAGTAAGGGGTGTAGGGGAAAAAGGAAAAGGGTTGCATTTAACAGCAGGAAAATTGGCTGATACTACTACACACGTATACCGAGTGATTAATTAATTTAACGAGTAATAGTAGTAGTACACTCCATTGTCAATTTAAACAGAAATATCATTTACAATTCGTTTTTAACGTTAATGTGATAATTATCACCAAATTTAGGAATTTGTTTAGTTTGTTTGTTTGTTTTTTCCAATCCCTTGTTCACAGTTTCGTTCGAAACTTTTCTTTTCTTTTTTCTAATATTATTACGATACACTTCACTGTCAATTTAAACAGAAATATCATTTACAATTCGTTTTTAACGTTAATGTGATAATTATCACCAAATTTAGGAATTTGTTTAGTTTGTTTGTTTGTTTTTTCCAATCCCTTGTTCACAGTTTCGTTCGAAACTTTTCTTTTCTTTTTTCTAATATTATTACGATACACTTCACTGTCAATTTAAACAGAAATATTATTCACAATTTGTTTTTAACGTTAAAGTGATAATTATCATCACCAACTTCAGGAATTTATTTCGTTTGTTTGTTTGGTTTTTCTTTCAATCCCTTGTTCACAGTTTCGTTCGAAAAACTTTTGTCTTTTTCTATTTTCTTTTTTTTTTTCTTTAATATTATTACGATTATTGTTTTAGGATTGAACGACAAACGTGGTGGTGGGGGTGGTAATAGTTGGGAAGGGATGGTTTTGGTTTTTTTTTTTCAATTTCATTCGATTATTATACTTCCAATTCTACTGCGAGAAGTATATTTTGTTTCTTCTTCTATTTTATTTTTTTTTCTGTCTGTGAATAGGATTTTATAGTGAATAGTTGAATTGTTATTTGAAGTATACGTACTATAGTGATGTTTGAACGAGAACAACGAGGATTGGTTAGTGTAGTGAGTTAATTTCGATGTCACGAAAGTGAATTGTATTCAACTTTTTTTCGATTTTGTTATATCACGAGATTTACAATTCGGACTTAAACCGACTGATTTGTCCGACTGTTTGATTGATTGATTGATTGATTGATTGATTGATTGATTGATTGGTTAATCGATGGATCAATTGACCGATTATCTGATACTTTGATACGATCAAACTTTCTCAAGTATCTTTTCATTATTTATTTATCATTGTGAACGAGTTAATCAAAAAAAGTAAATGTGAAGAAAAGAATTCGGATAAAAGCAACTACGTTATAGGATAATTCCGAAAAATATTCAAAATTCATTGGACTGAAGAAAAGGAACGGAACAGAAGGAAGGAAGGAAGGAAGGGAACATTTAAAGTTGGCAGTTGGAACGAGCTCGGGTGAGTTGTTTATTCAAATTAATTTCATTAATTTAACACAATGAAATTGAATATTGTATATTAAACATATAGAAATATGATATTTTAACAGACGATCCCATATTTGTAATATTCAATTTCTATTCGATTTATGGGTTTCGCGGATTCGTCGTCATCGTTGGCACACCCTTTACCTTTCACCCTTCCCCTTCCCCACTTCCCCGCCCCTCCTACCAACCTCCTATACGTTACTGACGTTTACCAAATAATCACGTTTACCGAAAGCTGCTGTTATTCGCATCTGTTATTTTACGCTGAATTACGAGATTGCTCGTAGGAGATTATTGCTCAGCGGGTGCACCGAATTGTTTCACGTAACAATTGTTCAAAGATCGATTATAACGTGGCCAACCATTTTAACTGTCGTATATATATATATATACATATAAACACCTTTTTCAATTTTTCATTCATTTAAATATCTACCTACGAAATATATGAGCACATATGTTTATACCTAACGTATACCATTTATTTATCAATCTATGTATACACGTACGTATGTGTATTTATGAACACGTGTGTCTATATGTGTATAGGTGGGGAGAGTGAATGAAAAAGTATGGGAACATGTGGGTGGATATAACTGAACAGTAGATATCAATTAATCTGTCGGAATGAACTTGCTAGTTAATAAATTATTCTCTTTCTTTATTTCGGTTTATTTTCGGTTTTGTTTCTGTACGTTCGTTCGTACGTTCGTTCGTTTGTTTACGTTTGTTTTTTTTTTTTTTTTCGTTTATTTCTTTTGTTTTTTAGTCAATGTAGAAAATAAAAATTCTCGGCAGCATTAAACTAGGTCGATAAAGTTACAAAGGAGGAATGGTCTCTCTCGAAATTCTCTTTAAAACTATAAAAGAGACGTGAGATTTAGATGGGATCTTCATTTCTCTAGTTTTCTCTCTATCTTATTCTTACTTTAACTCTATCTATCACTATCTTTCTCTTAGGTTAAACTTCATCGAAGTATTCTATACTTTGTCTTATTTTATCTATCTTTTTTTTACTTTTATATTTCTTTTATTTCTATTTTTATTTTATATTTTATTTTATTTTATTTCTCTCTTCTCTACTTAGTTGCCCTATTTCTATTTTTCTACTTCTTCTTCTTCTTTCTTCTTTCTTTGTTCTATTTTCTTCCTTTTTTTTTTTTTATTATTATTCTCTTCTTCTTTACCTTCTATTCTTCCTTAAATCCTGATCGAGTTTGTCAATATTGTTGAGAAAAAAGGCACAGACCTTTTTCTTGGATTGATTTCTTCTTCCACACGCGTTAAATGTTATAAACGGATTTGATCTAAAGGATATCTAAACATTGATTTTCACTGTTAGACGAAATAATTGTTATATGAAATAGAAAAGAAATGGGAAACTAGAGTTGATACTTTAATCGTTAATTTAATATGAACATTTGATTAATGTTAGTTTTGTTCTTTAGGTTTTAATATATTTTTGATTATTTTTATAAGTATACACGTGTTACTATATATGTGTAATTTATATTATTATTTAAATATACTAATTGTTCTTGATTTTTAATATAATTAAAGAAATATGTATATGATTAAACTTGTTAATAATTTATATTGTTTTCATATTTATTTTCAATACTTTTCTTTGCATTTTCGAATTTATAACTTTGAATTATATTTGTTTCATAGTTATAAGTTTTATTAATTATTAAGAATTTTTATTCTTTATATTCAATGATTATATCATAACTTTTATGAAATGCATTTTGCATACAATGTCATCAATGTGTTCAAATAAGTTTCAACAAATAATTTACAACAAATATTATTATTACACAAATAAATAA